TCCTCAACACCCACACGAGAACGTCATTGCTACCTAGGAATGGCTGAGTCGAGTACAAAGTTGCATGCTGCTTTTTCCACCAAAACAATTCACTCTAAATGACATTATTCCCCTCTATACTATTTCTGCCTAGCGGAATGTTTGCACACAAGTAGTAATTGTAGTTTTCTCTTTCACCAACTGCAGATCCAGTGAAAATGAAGCCTCGGATCATGAATTGGAAACAAGCAATATCACATCAACTAGCAGCGATTCTCCTCCAATGAGCCTGAATGAGGCGACTCACCTTTGTCGTGCCATGCGTGACAAACACCTATACAGACGTAGTCATCCGTCCACAGGCGACTCTTCTGACAGTGAGGAGGAGGAGGAGGAGGGGGATGATGATGATGATGATGACCCTATGAGTGATGAGGATAGCAAACTTGTCAGCATGGACACATTTGATACACCTCAATCGATCTCAGTGTATGAAAATGTGCGGTGGACCCTTGTCAGACCTCCACCCTCACCCACTCCCTCTGCCGCTACAAATGCCCAAGGTGCTGCTCCTCTCACCTCTGCCCCAGAGCCCTCGCTGTTGGTTCGGAAGTATGGTCTCTCCGGCTCCATGCTGCTAGCAAAGCAGCGCTTCTGTATGGCAGATCCCGAGCCTATACACATCGATCCACGCGCCTTTAGGGCAACGAAGAACAAGGAGCGTACAACCGAGACCATCATCCCTGATTGTAGTGAGCAGGTGGAGTTCCTATTTGACGCAAATCCTACCTCCCTCCCTCTCATTGAAGTAGTATCTCCTTCAGTCAATGAAGTAGATTTCTCGTTGACCAACGCGTTGGCTAAGGTGATGCCTCTCCTCCACTCCCCTCCCACTCATCTTCACGTGGCTCTCAACACTGACCCGGTGGAGCTACTACCCTCGCTAATGCCATTGCCTCTCTGCAAGACAGACTCCGCCGATTCCTCAATTGTGAGCGATTGTGTTACTATGAGGTGTGATGAGATAAATTTGGCCAAACCGAATTCCTATGGCCCACAGGAGATAGACAATGTGGTTCCTACCACAGGAGTGGGATCCTGTGTTACCCCATGTTGCTCCTCAACCGTACGGAGTGTGGGGACAGCTAGTGAAGGGAGACGAGTCAGCTCTTCTGACTCGACGGTGGTTAGTGATTACAGTCATCTGTTGGAGGAAAATGTGTGCTCTCCAAGTGATATACCTACGCATTCGACGCATACGCTCCGGAACAGCAGTTCTGACGAGG